GCACTACTCACGACAAGATGAGTAGCATAAAATATCTGAACGTGCACGAGGGAGACATCAGGGGGTCTAACCTGATTTGCTGGACGAGTATTACTTCGGCTGATTTAGGAACTCTCAAACGACATAGTAATTACGTTCAGTGTTGATTCAAAAAGGTCTTAAGACGAATTTTCACTACTACTTCCATTCAGACAAAGGTGACCTGCATTTTAAACCAGAGAATAAAACTACCGGCCTGTCTAACCGGAGTGTGATTCACACCAATGAGAACGGGGCTCTATGGATGCTGTTTAAATCGGTGCTGATCTCCTTTTCGAGTCCTGGAAAGGTCGTTTGAACAATTATCTTGGGACAACGCATCGTTGAGTTTCTGTCAATAGAAGAGAGATTTACCTCAGGACTAAAACTCGATGGGCGAGGGGAATATGTGTGGTCCGAACGAAGTTAAGTCTGACAACCTGAAGCCAATAAACTAGGAATGGCATTCACATCAGGAAAATATTTCCGCCCTAAGTCCAAGTAAGTTTCCAAAACAGTCTGACACGATAAGTGACAACACACACTAGTCTCTTATTTGGCTCATGTGGCTGAATTTCACCACACGAGTGGAATGGATGAACGAGTAACATTTTGGCTGTGTAAGCTATGAAAATGAAACCGTTCGACTCTCTTCGAAGGTCATTCCAATATTTCGTATGGCGAAAATGATGTGAGTTCAGTCTAGTCTACAAATGCTTCACGGTGCCACTCCAACGAATGCCATCTGGCTGAATATTGATCCTAAATTTGTGAAGTTTTTTTATTCAGGATAGGAAATTTGCAAAATTATCTGAAGATTCTTCACTGATCAGGCCTTTTTGAATGGAAGCAGCGCTGTGCACAACAGATATAAGCTAGACGACCAGTGGGTTCGCTTATTTGCCTTGTCATATCAGTGAGGATAAGTAGCCTCTGAGGAGGGAATAACAAAATAGTTCATTTGGGGGACAAGGGTCATCCCATTCGAACCTATCGAAACCAATCAAATAAAATCCTACCGAGCGCGAGCATTTCCATTTGGCAGGCCGACGCGGAATATCCAAACATGTAGCCTAGATCGATACAGATGAAACTCAAATGAACTGTCACGTTGTCTAGTTTGCGAAAAATGTGAACACTCAACGTAGCCAGAATTTTCAGCAATCTGTCTCCGAATAAATTCGTGCATGGGCGAATTGCAACAAGTTGGTCGTAGAGTATAGATGAAAGGATATGGACAGTGTTATCAGATCAACCAATACCAGTCATTCTTCGTATCAATTTCACTCTGGGGGGACTCCTAATGTGGCTCTTGTCTTTGAGAATGCTAAGTTTTCAAAAGAAACAAACAGTTGCCTCGTTCTATTCTACTCAGTGATGTTACTTTGAAAACTTGAGAAACAGAATTAACAGACCGACACTTGAAGAGACTTTCCTCGTGATTGCAAATTACATGGAATAAGAAACCCGGAAAATACGAGGTGCATATCATTCATTCCTGATTGTAACCACGAGGCTGATTTTACACTAGATGCTCACGTCTTAATTCGTATTATATATCCCATGGGTGCTTACCTTGTCTTTGGATACATTTGTGTCTATGATAATATGATAAATGCTTTCCCTAGGGTAAACGCAGTGCAAACAAATATCGTAAACCAGGGATTTGACTTGAATTCCGGTGAATCGGTGACAGTTCATATGCTTCAACCCAATCGATAAGTGCAACAACGGGTTTTCCTCCTTTCATCGAATGGACGCGAAAAACTGAGTGAACTTTGTCCTTGGAACTGTATGGTGCATAATAAAGCATATAAGTCTAATAACAGGCACCCGGAAAACGAAATTCAGTAAAGCACCACGTGACAAAGAGTAAGTGCGGAGCAGTGACCGAATGCTACTTCCTCAAATCCACTGACAGTTCGCACTTTGGTCCGCATCAGCCCCAAAAGTCCAGCTGCCTAATTTTATCGTCCAGTTATCGCACCACTTATGCAGCAGTTCAGGGTGTCACTTCTGTCACATATATATCCATCAGCGAGAAAATTCCGTTGCGATACAGAATTAGATTCGGTTAACAGGTTAACAGTAAGCTTTTGGCATCCATATCTAACCGAGTTTTTGCACCACTTAATCATTCAGATCAGGGACAAACAGCGATAATGAAATACGATGATGAACTCGAGACTTGCACCCATATTCTGGGAATGTAAGCAGGTCAACAATTGACTGAGTATCCGAATTCTTCTCAACTGCAGGAACACTTAAATCTGCTTCCCTCTTGAAGTTTGAGCGTTGGTCGAAAATTCAGTACAAGTCTTTTTTCCTATGGATGGCCCACAGAAACTGCCGTCCTGTCAACTAATGTGAGCAGCCGGGACCTGGAAGGGAGCGAGACGGCAGTCAGTTCGATTACAGTACTTGCCTGCAACATCCTTGTTTCTGACAGACAACATACATCAATGCAGAGGAAATCCAGTATAATAGCAAGAGCCACCTGTTGACCTGCTTGCTCCAGTTTGTGAACATTAAAAATGGCTAAGTAGAGAGGCTTTCGGGGTTTGAAAACAGACTTCGAAGTGTTTGGGGCTGTAACTGAACTCGGACGTGCAGAAGCTGCAGCTGAGTGTGATGCAGGGCGAGCAACACGGTCAGTCCTAGAGCTGGGACCTGCGGAGAAAGTATTCGAATTTGGGTGGAGGGTGAAAGAAGGAAAACGTGAAAGTGCAAGAAGGGAGGTGTCAACAGTTGCATATTTTCGCTTACCAGCCCTCCCGTATGCAGCAAGTAAGGCGACTCAGCTGATGGAACCACTCGACGGCGGATGTGGCATGAAAGTATTGTTAGCTGTAAATGTCGTGGTTGTATGAGGGCTACCAGGGCACCCACAGATAGACCGAAGGACGATTATGGTCCTCAAGCAAAGCCTTTAGCTCAAAAGCCTAACCGCAAGGCAGCGGTGATGGGCGGGAAAGGCAAGTTTACTACCATTTTTGCGGAACACGTCGCCACACATGTTCTAACCCCAAACGTGGAGAGACAGGAGACTGTTCGAGGGCTTCTAACCATTGACCAACCTGGTATGAGAGACCTTGTAAATGTCGCGCGGACACCCCCCCCCCAATATATCCAAATGGGTCGCTGAGGCACAAACCGCCACACCACGGTAAGGTCCAGTCTCTTCGTAACAGAACGTCCGCGATATAATTATATGAACAATTTTCCAGTCAGCGGGAAGTCCTATACACAATATGAGTAGCTGCACACAAGTAGTTGGTTTGGAGAAAGACAACACGTGTACTTACATGCATTTAATTGTAGATCCCTTGATTGGTTCGAGTATGCAATGAAATATATAACACCAATAAAATTGTTGGTTTTGTGAAGAAATTTGAGAACCTTTGATGTAGACTTTGATCTCTAAGTGAATTGTCTGGGGAGCATGTCCACGCATGTGAGCTAAATTAGGCAAATTGTTCATCGGACCTTGCTTTCTCGATGTTGGGAGAGCCGACACAAATTTGGGAGCATATTACGGACTGAAAATAAGTTCAGCCCATCAGTTTCGAGCGCTGTGGCTGCGCACTTAGTCGACACAGGTCATGTGACTAACACTGAATTTGTATTCGCAATTGTCTTTAGGTTATCGATCAGTATAGCGAAGAAAACAAATGTGCCCCATTGATTGTCGTAGGCAGTCCTACAGGAAGCACTTAAAATTTTTTATTAAAGTCCCGAACGGGTCTTCACCTCACCTAAAGACCAACAAAAGAGATATTGATCTATTCACCTAACTGTAGGGTTTTGTTGCCTCTAACTAGTTCAATCGTACAGATTGCAGTTTCGTTACGGAGTCATCGGGAGACGGTGAAGAGGTCTCGAAATTCTCCGGATACTCCCACTTGCACACGAATTCGGTTTTGATGAGAGACTCAAGTGAATATAACTGAATCTCTCGTTCATGGTGATCGAAGGGCTTTCAACAACGCTATGAGTAGAGGTTTACGTCTCGATAGTGAAATCATTACTGTCCTTCAACCTTTGTGTTGGTGACCTATGGAGAATTTTGAGGACGGCGGATGTAGGCTACAGATTTGATAATGGTCATAATTTTGTCTAACAAAAGCACGTCTTTTCAGTTCACACTTTATACCGGACAAAAGACTGGGATGGATTAAAGAAGTTCTCTGCCTGTTGAGTAAGAGGAACTGAAGAGTACAAGCCTATCTTTTTCTGAAGACACTCTTGCATACGGCTTATTTCATGTTATTCGATCTACTGTAATCACAGGTGGTCCTACTAGTAGCCTGTGTAGGGATGCACCGCTGGAGAAGTACATATTTCAGCATTTACGGTCATCAAAACACCTACTTAGGTACACTGAATGGCTAAACTAAACAACCGTGATCGTCCTTTGCTCGCCACCATTTGTATTTGTTAATTCATATGTGATCTGGTCTTTAGTCTAGGCTTTTTCGTGAGTCGATAGCTGTGGCTTTATCCTCGGAACACGGAAAATCGAGCAGAATGTCTTGGGTATATAACCGGACATCCCAACGTCTGAACAACTTCGAAGTAGAACAATCAAGTGGTATGGAAAGTCTGTTTTTCCGCCTTTGTTTAAGCTCAACCGCTCGAAATGCTTGATTCCAGTTCTGGTGTAACACTCGGTCATATATTCAGCTTAAGGGGTACTCATGTTTTGGCTAATCTGTTACAACCAATCACTGGGCAAGGAGGCATATGAAAGCCATCATTCTGAACCTGGTCAACATCAATCAAACAGACATTGGTTGATAAAAGTCTCTGAAACGAGTTGAAATTTTTGCCATCCCAGATGATTCCATTGAGAAACTCTTGGAAATGAAAAACCCATACAATCCATTAATGGACTGAAAAATGAGGATGAAATTTGCTTCCTAGCAGACTTACTAAGTTAAGCCAGAAGGAGAATGAAAACCCTTATTGTAATCATTAGTAATCAAGATTATTGTCGACGAAATTCCCTCAAAAAATGAAGAAAAAAAGCACGGATACAATACATCACAAGTACTATGAATTAGAACACATTATGATGAGAGACATCACTTTGCGATTGATTTGATAACAGTGTTTAGAATTTCAACGGCTTTTGAAAGTTCTTCCTCGGAAATACACAAAGGTGGTGCCAGTCGGATGATTGTCTCATGTGTGGGTTTCGCAAGTAGACCGTGGTCGCGTAGCATGAGACAAATATCCCATGCATTGTGTTCTACAAGAAAGAACAAAAAAGAACAAACCATTCTTCCGTGAGTCCGTGAGTTTTGAAAGTGAAATTCCATACCGAAAATTTTCAGTCTTTAGCAATAGGTCGGTCGACTAACCGTATGTTCTTACTAGTAGTTCTTTGCGTGAAGCAGAGCTGCAACACCGAGTACCATGGAAAACGTGACTCATGACATAACAAACTACTGATGAGTTCACTGAAAACTCTTCGGAACCCCACCACCGGTTTCACCCTTTTCGGGGCTCATCAGGTAAACGTAGTCCACAAGTTCCTGCCAGCCTTATATGCTATCTGCATCCAAATTTAGAGGAATTCGCTAAATACTCTCATACTCTCACACGAGTCTGATCTTGACGGAAGATTTAGCAGAATCCAGCCAAATATCCGATTTATGGTGGTATTAGATCGGATTCATTCGAGTTTCCCGTTAGAATCAAATTTATTTGCACGTGACTGTTTTTAATGGCTCCTGATACTTGTGACGTATGTCGAACCATTATGAATGCCTACCATCTACGGTATAAACCAGCGGTAAAGAAATTGGTTCCTGCGGCTGACTGAGCTCCATGGAAGCAGCGACTCGGAATATCGTTGAAGGCAATTTATTCGCCTTTAGTAGGGTCGCCCATAGGTTCCTAATACGACGAAATACTAGATACAGTGGTCGTTGGCTTTTTCGCTGAGCTGGGCAATATGATTGTAAACGTTTCATCACCAATCGAGGTGACGTCATCAGTGCATTGTTGGGGAGCGTAGTAGTGCATAGCGGTGAGTTAGTGGTTGTGCCACATTAAATCACCTCTACGCACTACCACGCTCCTCAACAACGCACTGATGATGTCACCTCGACTGTTGATGAAACGTTTACAATCAAATTGCCCAGCTCAGCGAACAAGCCAACGACCACCATCTACGCAACCTGAGCTCCCGAAATTTTCCTCTGTAAAAAACTAGATACAGTGGCCACCGATATCGTCCCCTTCACTAGGGTCTTCGTCATCGCTCCTTGTCACTGAGGTGATGGACGAAATAACGATCACTTATCGAATAGACTGGAAGTTCCAGTCGTTCACCGCTTGTTAATGCACTCCATAAATCCGGAAACGCAAACACTACTTGGTAAAACAGCTGCTTCCTGTTTAACACGGATATGCTTAGCTCTATTGGTTAGCTCCACTGTGTATTCAAAGCAAAGACTGGTTAGTTTGATAAGTGAAATAATCCTAAAATCTGTGCCTTCATGGCTTGATTATATCGCCGTCATTCACCAGACGTATCTTTTCACCGAAGGTTCAGTAGTGCTGTGCCTGCATGATCTGATGGATATCTAGAAGTATTCAGAGTCCCGGCGAGCATGATGACAACACGTGTATGTGACCGTTAGCTCAGCCATAATAACTCAGGCCTCGCATGATCAGCTTGTGAGATATGAGATAGTCCTACTCTTCATTTGCAAACTGCATATCGTTCAACCAAACTTGAAAGGTGTGGTAATCAGGTCAAATAGAGCTGTTGAAGCTAACACTGAAGTGGTTAGATAAATGTCATACAATAATGAAGCCATAGGACTTATCGCTTGCGTGAAACACGAGTGCATGATAAGGTTGATCAACGACAGTGTCGGACCCGTAAGTAATGCATATTTGATGCCATTAACGGCTGGCAAATCAATTCTGAAAAACTTAAATTAATCTCTCCCCCATGTTGATCTTCCATTTACAAGATCATGCAGCTGCGGTCTCTCTAAGTGTGTTTTAAATGGCATTAGTTCCGATGAAGTTAAGCCCTATACCCCCACTGAACAATTGAGCTGCTGACTGGGTTTTAGGTCCCGAAGGGGAAACGGCCATAGCACAGGCTAATCGGGTTAGTTTCACATGACATGCAATTCTAACTATGCAGTTCATCCGCATAATTAATGATTGCAAGTTGAAAGAAAACTTTACTATAATAATGGACAACGTTTGACCACAGGAAGTATGACGATTACCGAACAGGACACATTTCGCGCATGAAGGGATGTCGTAAGTCGGGTAGCCAAACAAGCACTTTAGAGGAAGATGAAGTAGTTAGTGGAAAAGAACTGCAGATTTCTCACAAGGCCATGCAAAGCACCATACAGTACATAGATTGACTAATTTTAGTTCACGAAAAAATGCATATCCTGACCTTAGCAGTATTCCGTGCTCACCGCGCACTGCAAGAAGAATACATCACAAACTGTCCCTAACAGAGGTAGAATACTTTTAAATTTAAACAAACAGGGCATACTGTTTCAATTGTAGGAGGTTGGAGTCACAAGGCCCCCATTTTGCTCGAATAGGAACGGTTTTCCGGAAAAGGTCATTTGTTTGGGTCCCCTCCGAAAGTTCTCTGAGGGGGACATTTTTTGACCTATAGGTGACAATGCTCTGATCTGCATCCAACTGATATCGAGTTCAAACCAAGCTTTGTTTGTTGTAAACACATTAGTCCCCCCTCCAAAAAAAATAGCTTCTGAGTGTCGAATGGATTGGCTGACTCCAGTGTTGCCTCCACTAGTATTTATAGGAGACATCTTTTAAACGGTGTTTAAAAGCAATGTGCTCTGTCCTCCAGAAAACAGGAAACGTTTCACTTGCCTTTGTAAAACCTAAATAGGTTCTGTAATGATATGGGGCCCCTGACAAGAATTTCCTTCATTTGCAGTTAATACCACGTAGCATTACTTCGGCTACCTAGTGCTAAATAGATCAGCTGACTGATCCGGAACGCACAACTCAGTGGTTGATTATATCCACAAACATGAGCCAGAAGGCAATCGTTGATAAGCTGTGGAATAAACTGATTATACATTCTTCACCCATGTCCAAAATCCGGACGAACATTTTCTACCCTTAACCATAAGATTCGTTTAGCTATATATATATATACATATTTAAAACCCTTGAGTGAAGGGAGGAAAAAAGTGGGTGAGGGAGGGGACTTAGTGTTGGACTTTGTCAAGCATTCTGAGATGCCTACACATCCAACCGCTCAGTCAAACAAGCTGAAAAGAAACTGACAGCACGAACGTCACTGACATCGATTGGCCGCCATTTCTTGCAACGTCTCCAGCCAAGCACAGGCGGAGACTCGGGGACTTCATCCTGGAAGGCGTACAACACCAACAACATCCAAACAAATCGTGATCTCTTTCATGCCTTTCTCCAAGTCATGCGTTGTTCACCTCATGGTTTGCGTCATTCTGGAGGAGGCATGCAGAGCAACACTCGTCTCGGTAAACAGCGTTTAGGCTGCGTAGCACTGATCGAGCCATCCTGGTCGGTGATGCTGGATGTTCTCCCCGACTGAAGTACCCACAGGTGTACAACAACGAGAACACCCAAACTCTTCGTGACATGGTTTGCGTCTGGAGGAGGCATGCAGAGCAACACTCGTCTCGGTAAACAGCGTTTAGGCTGCGTAGCACTGATCGAGCCATCCTGGTCGGTGATGCTGGATGTTCTCCCCGACTGAAGTACCCACAGGTGTACAACAACGAGAACACCCAAACTCTTCGTGACCTCTTTCATGCCCTTCTGCCAAGTCATGCGTCGTCCACCTCGCGGTTTGCGCCATCCTGAAGGAGGCACGGAGAACAACACTGGGGTCGGTAGACGGTGCTTCGGCATGCGTAGCACATGACGAGCCATTGTTTGTCTGAGTATTTATTGTTTAGTCTGTCTGGACTTTCTACCTAGTCAGAAGATTTCCTGGTAAGTTGCGTATATTGCCGGTTCACATAACGGGTATGAAGCTCTAATAAGCTCGTGCATTCACATGAGTGTGTGGAGTTGACTCGCGCGAAATGATCGGGACAATTTCTAAGTGTTTATTGGCAGTATCTTATAACTGTTTTGGCCTTGTAGGTTAGTTTTAGTCCGAACAGAGCTCATCAGGGGATAATCTTCCCCACTTAAGCCTATAACGACGTACTAGACGCAGTGCGATACGATCGTGAGTGCTTTGGAAGCGACGCAAAGGGCTCACAGTAACCAGTGGAATACATCAGTTGGGGACTTTCATGTGATTCCAGAAACAATCGTATGATTGGGGAATAAAGTAATCCCGTGACAAAGACCTATGAGAATAATGCAATATCGTGCAGACCAATCAGATGCACGTTGCTGCGCTGTGTTGCTTCATTTCAGAGTATTTATGTGTGAGCATCTGGATATTTATTGTGGTGACCAGATCCCCACAATTTCGTCCTTACTTTCGTTTCCGGACTTTCTGAAAATAGCTTTATGTGGTTGTGCAATAGTGAGACATAAAAGATGCCTGATGTCGAAGTGTGACCAATGAACACTAAGGTTTCTTGAGAGCTGAGTACAGTGGTACAGTATGGAGTACGAAGTAACAAACCTACCTAATGTGGACTCTGTGATCTGAGGATTAGTAGCGCTATATTACGTCTAAGTGCGAGTTAATCACACAGCTGACCAGTCGCTCCTGATCAAACGGTTCGGCTTTCACAAAAAGCCGAGGGTCGCAAACTCTCTGGAGTCCCGTGAGAAAAGCGCTGCCGAGGATGAAAAAGCTGACTTATTATCTAAGGAAGGTGGGGATGGGGATTATTCTTTATGAACCATGAAGGTCCCAGGTCTGCAAAGTAAGAAACAGTACAGTAGAACTGCAACCGCTAGACGAGAACAGCTTGTGTCCAGCGCGCAGTTTGACACTCACCAACTAACAGGTATGGTTATTCCCCTGACTCACCCAATTTTCATAAACCAGAGTATTCGATGCCATGTGAGAACTATCGTCCGACTCTGTCACACACTTGACAACCTGTACGAACAGAATCAGTTCAATCTGCAGACAACTCTCAGTTTGCTGAATTAAGCAGAGATCAAAACCTTTTAGAATAACTTGCTCGTCAGTGATGCGCGTTCCCTTTTCCCTGACGTGTTCGTACTTGGCACCCTTAGCTTTCTCATTGTCCGTTGAAAAAACACCGAGCATTTTTGCGCTCCGTTACATCCTAAAAACTACTCCTGCTTTGATGCACCACGAAGTCACCATTCCTGTTCAGCCGTAATGTGAATCATCAGACTGTGGCTATGGGTCATCATTAGGTACTCAACAGGCAGAGTTGTTTATGGAAGGTGGGAGCTCAACACACTCAATCCATCACTGATTGGTTTGAAGCCGGTGTGTCAGTGATCATTTCGCATACCATCTAGAAAGACCTGAAATGATCAGGTTCATGAAACGCCATTCATCCGCTCCCCGATATCAGGTGTATCTGCGAGTCAAATAAAATGTTATTCCATGTTCGGATGATTTACTGATATGCCGCAAAAACGGATCACCATCACCGGGGATCTAAGTGGATGTTGAGTCAGTTCTGTAAACAAAACGAAATTGAGACGTACGTATGAAATAACGGACCCATAAAATTTGCTCTGTCTGATGTTCTCAGTGGGCGCTTGATTCTATCAAAGATGAGCAAAGCAGAAATGATAAGTTTTTCCAGGAGAACATAAGATTGAGGCCTCTGTTCCAAAGAAACATCCCTTTATTAGCCTCCCAATTATGAATGGGAAGCCACTTCAGTTCTTTCGTCCACAACGCATTCAACGCTGCTAAATAAAGAATCACAGTCACTGACTGATCGGGCAACTCTCCAAAGACACGTTGTCTCTAATGGCCACGAGTACCTGCATTTCAGCAGGTTAATATTCAGCTGGACATATAGGTCACGTGATGGGACAACGAACTCACGAGAGTGCAATTCTTTCGAAAAGCAGAAACGTAAAATGAGGCGATTCTTGAACACTGGCTTGCCTCAACTCACTGCATGAAATCGGCATTGGCTGTCTGGATTGGGTACCCGGCATCTAAACACGAATTCACGCGCACCAGGTAAAGACTATCCGACATTGATGAAGCCGCTTCCATTCTCCTTTACTTCTTATTGGAGGAAAGTGATCTGTCCGCAGTTTATTTTCACCGTGGCCTATCCATGATTATCAGGAGTGTAAACGAGTTCCAGGTGATAGGAATTAAGCCATGTGGATTTTATTTTACACAGAAGTTTGTCAAACTAACATAGATGAGTTGGAAAAATTGAATTATTTTTTGGACAATTTTCCGATAGTAAGCTTTACATTTGACGTTAATAGCCTTATAGTAAATATAATGTAGTCACGCTAAGCCTGAATATGAATAGTCCACACAATAATTCTTCGCTCTTCAGTGTTTCCTCTTAAGTGATTTTGAGCTTTAGATTTTACATCGAAAATCGACAGAGTGAAGGAAGCAGCCCAGAGGCGACCTGAGCACAAGCGAATGAAAGCTGGATGGGATCCGAATCTGGTGGGTCAATCCATGTTAGGTGTGACTACACGAGCGCTGGGAGTTCACTCTCACTGTTTCATTCAGTTAGCGTGACAGGTGCCTTTCACTTACGGCCAACCTCACCTATGAATAATTCCAGTGCATAGCTTGATTGAACTCCAAACTGTGCTGCTCCACTCAATGACTTCTAGTTACACACTTTTATTCGATTATGTTTGGTCGGTATACGGCGAATGTTACTTGCACTCAGTCTGTACTGAAGCAGATGATGCTTACACAAACCTTTTTGGTTCTCTTGATGCTGAAAATGAATCCTCTGTATTTCCAGAAACCCCCATGGCTTTAGATGGACTGAACGGTTTACCTCCACTGCCCGATGGATGTAAGTAGAACGATGGAAACGCCCAGTGTTGAAACGTGTTCAATGGTAGTTGATGATTCCGCCCACAAAACCAACGATCTGTCGCCCGTCCATAAAGGCGCTGATTACTTTCTGAGCTTTTTCGTTTATAGTGGCATTGACAACGGATGAAGGTTTGAAATGATGCAAATGCAGACCGGTTACTGGTGAAGCAGATGTTACGCATTTTATGATGATAAAAATAGCTCTTGTCATGCTCCAGACTCTTTCATCCAATTCAATTACGAGAGTTTACAAATACAGACTAACGGGAATCTCCGGTGGCGACATCAACATTGGATAGACCATGCTGAGACCATGATAACAATAGTACGAAGGTGACTTACTATCATCAACGACTATGGCGTTTAGTAGACCCTTTCCTCGGTAGGACTTAACTACTGATTTTGGTAACTGACTGAGTGCTCTTCGCAAAATATGACCGAGTTTATCCGCTCGTTCAGCCAATCGTTCGTCTTCCAGTACCTGTGGAATCATGAGAGAGATGAGAAGAGTTTCCATCACATCAGTAAAAATTCCACACGAAAACACGGCATGGTACGTGGAGTCGTTTTTATGCACTGTGTACAAAACAGTAACGGCTCAAGAATAGTAACAGACACCCTGCTGTGCCGAAACATTCGCACTTAATAATTAGCTGTGGGCACTGGTGCGTTTGCGGTCACTTGTATATGCTTTGACATTCGATTTCTGGTCGTACAACCACGTCTAGAATGTTGGTTAGGTGAAAAATTAAACAGATCCCTATACAATGTTTCAAGACCGACTTCAGGGTGTCTCAGCAGCCATGAGGCAGTGAAGAATCGGTGTGGAACAATGATATCATGCTGTTGATGATGATTATGATGGCCCAGTAAACTCATTGCTGTCCAACGTCGTTCTTGTATGGAATTAAAATTATATTAGCACCAGCATATTACTAGCTGGTGAAAACCCAAGCATGTCGGAGGATGTTTTATAGGCAGTATCTTAATAAGACCGTAATTAATCATGCAGGATCAGAGTACGGTTTAAATCAAAACCAAATCACTTTCAAAATCGCACCACAGTCCAAAGAGTACCGTGTAATTCTCCTGGATTGTCTTGCTGCTGCGTATGTTCTTAAGACACACAGTTCGATTAGACCAAGCTGGTCATTGGCCTCCGAAACGTTCCCTACAGTGAAAGGCTACGTAAACTCGATTTGTTTGATTTAACTTATCGGCGTATACGAGGAGACCTCATCCTGATGTTCAAGATAATAAACACCCCTAATCACCCTTTAAAACATTTGTTCACAGTTAATTTGGCCCGACAGACCCGACGGAATCCATTGGCCGTTGACATTCCATGTTCCCGCATTAACTGTCGGCGCTACTTTTTTTCAGTCCGCGTATCCCTCACGTGGAACAAACTACCAACATCTGTTGTGGATTGTGATAACCTCGAGACTTTGAAACATTCGCTTGACGAATACATAAGATCTCACCCAACTTCCCTCATCAACATTTGAGATGCAGATTACAAACAATAGAACATATATGTCATATCATTCCGTTTATCTGTATACATACACACACACCAATATCCTTTGGTCATTGTAAAGCAAAATGCTTTTTAGACCAATATAACCTTGATTTACCTTGATTTAAGCACGGTGGGTTAGCCGTTCATGTAACTCCCAATGAGTTAAGATGCCGCAGATCTGTCAGCAAGTATTCACGTTTTGCATCAGTGCTAAGCTTGTTGGTGGTGTAAGTCATATGGATCACAGATGCACAGCCAAGCAGATGAATCTACTTCTGAAACAGATGCCATTCCCTTAGCGAAAGTTAGACGAACTCACTTCGTGCTGCAGCTTATCATCAGTTCACTATCAACCGATAATATGATTCACCTTCTGTACATTCAGAGCACCAGCTGAGTGTATTTACTTCAGTTGAATTCTGATTGCTGCTGTCTTGACCGGTTAGATAGAAGCCATTCTAACTGTCTTAACAAGGGGTAAAAAAAGGGTTTCACGGCTGTCTGGATTCCATTGGAACATACTAAACTTTAACCGGCCCATTTATACCTCGCTTGACCCATAAGCTAAGCCATCCTGTGAATTTCACCGAAGTCTATCTACTTTTGTAGAGAAGGGCGAGCTGGAGGTAAGCAGACTATCCACCAAAATACCACCACTGAATTTCCAATATGAAGGTTATGGTCGGTGAAAAAGTGCACACAACTAGCCGCGCAAACTTTATCATAGTTTATACTGTTCCAATGACGTTGCACACTTTCATACTACACGAAAATGAGTGCGAGAGACGACAACAACAGGAATGCAGTTGTTCAACCAGACTTGTTTCGATAAGATTGTTTACAAATGCATCCGAAATTAAACACGAATGCGGTCATTGTTGAGAATGAAAATGTTGGTTGCATTATCTTATGAAGCTCTATCTACCTACTTCACTAATAGCACGTTACGTCAAAGGTCGACCGACAACAACTACCTAGAAGCTTGAAACATAACGTGATTAGCCATTGTATTTAGTTCGGTTACATTTCGTTTCCGACTGTCCTGTCGCTTGAAAGATAGTGCGCATACACGATAAGCAGAATAGTCCAGAATGTGGCGGAACCAATGTGTAGATATCGGTTAGTTGAGACACTTGCAGCTAGGCCTAGTGGCCTGCTCTTACACGCTGTGACTTCGCTAAAAGATATCATCCCCACTGGAGATACCATCAAAGAATGCGCCACATTCTTAAAGGCGCTCTTGACGTCCCAGTGCGCAGGAATGGAACAGAGGTCATGACGCAAAATATGTGCTTTAGCCTAGTTTGTAACCTTCTACATCAAGGTTTGCTCACAATCAATAGATCCTCAGTATTCTGGTAATCTCAGTGATGGCCCGTACGCAAACAGTCAGACTATGATAAACAGAATGCCACCCGCATTATTTACTAGAGACGTCACACTGATACTCCACTTTTACGCCAGCTTACCGTTTAGAAGCAGCATTATCTTGTTTTCGAGTGCACTCTGTGCTCTTTCTACTTTTCTTCTCATGTTGTTGTTCTGTGTGGAAAAATAACCATTCAAGAAGAGTGCTGCAGAGGTGTAATTCGAGGCTATACTTGTAAATATGTTAATAGTCCTCATACTCTGCATTGACAACTAGTCTAAAGAGCTGGAGGTATTGTGAACTCTGTATTCTAAAAAAACTTTATTCTGAGTGGCCTTCTAAATTTGACACGACCTAAATTTTTCGATCGGGGGGAATAGCCAATTCACTACATAACAGCTTCAGAGAACAAAATTTGAAAATGTAAGTATTTGGTGGGGAACGGTGTTCGGGAAATCCAAGCAGGTCGAATTGGACGGCTGACAATGATTGAAATCAGGTATCATGCAGAAAAAGCTGTAGTGGATTTTTTACGATCACACAGGACTATACCTACCTGTAGGGCCGTCATTGCAACTTTACAAGCCAACGGATTACCGCCGTAGGTTGACCCATGTTCCCCCGGCTGGATGCACAGCATAACCGGGTCGTCAGCCAACACAGCAGAAACCTACAAAAAGAGGAAAGTAGCGGGTTGTGTCATATTACCAGCTTTCAAACTAGTTAGACGACTACCGAACATATAGAATGTTTAGTCCTAACGAGGGTCTGATAGGAATCGTAGACTCCGATCGAGTATTACTCCAGGAACCATGTGAGAAGTTGTAAGAGATCCCAGACCAACAGCATGTAACGGCTAACTGGAGGATCAAATGACAGGCTTTTTTATGTCCGAACAGTGGACAGAGACACCACACGTGACAGAGAATTCGGGATACTAATCTCGCCTTTCTTGGAAAAATTTAGTCTCACACTTGCTGGTCAGCCATTTTTCTTCCTAGGCGCTCGAAATTTCCATCACACTGTTTTAAACAAGGTTGCAAAAATACCGGTCGTGTTGTCTTATATCCAGGATAGCATATTTTCCAGGTAAATCGCAGCGTAAACGGGGTAAGAAGGATGTAAAACTCAAGGAACGTGCATGTGACAACTTGGTGCATACTTCTCGTTATGGACACTAGGTGAAATCATTCGCTAGTAACCCTGTGTAAAGGCCCACTCTCCACAAAAAATATGCAATGGTTATTTGTGGGTAAATAGCAGAACCAAATGACGATATTGAAAATCCAACACATCAGGATCCATGTAATGAGCGCGCTCACTGAAGGCGTAGGCGTCTTACTGCAATAATTTGGAATATTCGTAGCTTGGATGAACCCATTAGTAATTAATCAGGTAGCTGCTGAGGCGTTCGTTGAGCATGACATTTAACTAGCAAACGTTTCGGCACCATTCGATTGGGGTACACATTGGTGACTGTTGAGCAACAGAAAGCTTGGGAAACATCAGTTGATCTAAAAGAACAAACTTTGCCAAGCTATTTGGAATATAAGAGACGGCCACATTCAGATTCTAATTCTTCGTTCTCGCGTTCATATTTACTTGTTACTGACAACGCCAGATATCCTATTTATAATCACAAAAGTAGCTTTTCTAATTTTCTGCAAGTTACTTGTGCCTTGAGTTTGTTTCATACCCAGCTAGGACAACATAGCTCTGTACAGCTCATCATAGGAACTTTTGAAAAGACCAGTAAATAGAATTTAAGATCTTCGTTATCTGAACTAAGGACTTGTTCTGGATGAATGCAAACGAAAATGAGTAGTAGAGTTAAAGCGCAATTGCCGTTTAGATTATTCGATTTGCGTATTCTGCTTCAAATATTTTTGCAATCTTGTCGTCCCTCGAAACGCAGTGAGCGAATCGCAAAGCTTAAAAAGCTTGCCATAGAATAATAAAGGTCCGAAAACTCAGAAACTTTCGAAAAGAATAAATGCCCAACTTGGCACACGCTGTCATCTCGGTTAGTGTTGGATAAGATCGAGTTAATGAACGGAGGACCGCGACCGAGTTACACCGTATGGATGGTCACGCGGCCGAGCCTAACAAGCTTATTTTAGTATTTTCTTCTCTTGAGAACTCCAGAACCCCAGCTGCTGGACTAATTACACAAGATGTTGTCTGAAGAACAGCCTGAGCTCAGAGGTAGTCGATGCTTCGGTGATGCGAAATTCCCGAAAACACGTCAATCGTCAAAAAAGAGTGAACGACCGGCATGCAAATCTGATTTGCCAGTCAAAAGTAGTCAGAGCAGTGCATAAAAAGGGAATCACAAGCAGTTTGCACCGAGCTGAATGTGGCTTTGAACGCCGATTTAGACACGTAATTAAGTAAGTAATTAAGTAAGTAAGCGAGCAAGTAAGTAAGTAAGTAAGTAAGTAAGTAAGTAAGTAAGTAAGTAAGTAAGTAAGTAAGTAAGTAGGTAAGTAAGTAAGTAAGATGGGTGGAAACAAAATTGGTAAGCATGTGAGTATATTTCACTAACACCCGATACTGTTTCAAAAGTCACTTGTGTTCGGTGTCCATTAATGGGTGACATTTCCTATGTCTGGATTGTAGCATTATGAAGAACATTTCGGCCATAATTGAAATCTAAGGTAGCCTTTCCTACGCAACTGGTCCTTCGTACTGTCATTATCCACCAAAGCGTGCGGGTGGAAACAAAATTGGTAAGCATGTGAGTATATTTCACTAACACCCGATACTGTTTCAAAAGTCACTTGTGTTCGGTGTCCATTAATGGGTGACATTTCCTATGTCTGGATTGTAGCATTATGAAGAACATTTCGGCCATAATTGAAATCTAAGGTAGCCTTTCCTACGCAACTGGTCCTTCGTACTGTCATTGTGCACCGAAGCGTGCCGACCATCACATCAAACAATATGCATTAATCTCTCCACATAGTCAATGGAATCAGGTCATTCAACAAGCATTTTTCACATTACCCATCATCTGTCGGTTTCCGAGTTTTATGCGTAGGAGACCGCATGTAACACCGGCCTTGTCAGCTGACCTAATAACAGGATGCTAACACATGATCTGATGAGAAACCTCAAAGCCCGTTTGCATGCTTGTTCTGGTCGTACTTCCTGAACGTCGTGTGATTAGAAACGGCCTGATCAAGTGTCCGTGACGTTAACTGAGGACAGCAAAGAGTGCAAAATCGATACCAGAATGACCCTAAACTAGCTGGGTGACAGAGAGCACGAAGAGGAAATTCATAAAGAGTAAAATTGGCGTGTTCTCGACAGCAGCAGCTAGGTGAGAGCACGTAATCGAACGACTAAGTTGTGATTAGTTGCCGTGGTGAGTAGTATGTTTAATGCAACCAGTTCTGTTGTTTTGTAGCCAATATCCTGACAACATCAATTAGATTACCAACAAAACATACACGATCAGCACGTACACCAAAAACCAGAAGAAACAAAACCTGGACCGTAAAAACGTCAAACCAGTTTATTTCAATGTATCGGTCTCGCGTTAAACACAGTTATATGGAAAACAGAATACACTCACTTCAGTTCATTTCAGGGAATACACTGGCTAAACAGATAGATGGTTGCGAGGGCAGGACTATCGTTCAAAAACCCCGATTCTCATCCCCGGGATCGATTACGAACCCTATGTTTACGATACGAATGAAACAATATCGGAGAAAAACCGCTTAAGAAATCTAGGGGGATTAATCAAACTATGACGTTGGTGCGATGGTTTTACTTTTCTGTTGGAAGACTGTACGAATCAGAGCTCGATGTGTATGCAACTTGTAGTGTTATGTCCCGCTGATTTGCCATCACTCCTGATTGTTGTTTTCACCTGCTCTGGCGTTATCCCAGCTTCCGTCGCTAGTAAGCCATCACAAATTGAACTTCCTTATTGCCTTCCCCATTCTTTGTCACTTGATATCTGATTCAGTCTTCTTTTGCCACGCAAACCAAATTTATCGGTGTGCATCGTCGTGGCGGCGGCCGAGGCAATCACATCGAGTGTTGGCTAGGAAATCGAATCCAATTTATCTTTGAATTTCGAATTTCGAACACCGATAGGCACCGATAGGCAAACGTGTTAAGAAGAGAGTCTATCAACTCTCGACTGAAAGTTTCGTTTATGAGAATCCCTAACTAAGTGTGCCACATCCTGTTTCAGTCGGACTGCACAATACTACCTATAAATTTGAAAACCTGGTAGTGGCCCGCCACCGATTGCATATGTGTTGCGATCACTCAGTCAGAATTTATCCCGACTTCCCATCAAATTGTGTCCAAACGGAGTTAAACTCCCACTTGTAAACTACATTGATTTTAACGAGATATCCAAACCAGAGACTCAGTGGATGTGTGTTTGACCTCAGTTACATGCCGTTTGGTGCCTTTCTAGGAAGAGAGAACTGGTAGAGACCCTGGGTCTACCTCCATTTCCTGAGCTCCAGTAGGGATTCAGCCGGTGGTGGGCTATCAGAGAGTTTTCATGCATCGTTGCTAGTGATCAACCGCAAACCACTGACTTCTACTGAAAGCAGCGTCACTGTAAGGCATCTGAGTAATATTGGAAACTGGTGGTCAGGGGGCATGCAACTTTGTGCAATATTGGCGTAGCGGAAGTAATGGTGATTCACCGAAAGTTTAATGAAAGTAATTTTTTCGGACATACACATTAAGGTGATTCTTCGGGTTCTGGAGCAAACCAGATGAACGTAAACTGTTTATTAGCGAATATAAACTCATTTGCAAACTGGTGCAACACATTTAGTTGCCTGGAAGCATCGAAACCGAGATAGGCAGCTGGGGTTCAGGTGAGTCTCTCGAAAAACCAAATTAGTTTGCGAATGAGTGTATATTCTCTAATTTCGTGCAATTTGGCTTCAAGTAGAACGTAAGGCTGACGGAAACCCGGGGACTGCGCCTACCTGATGAGCCCCAAGAAGGGCGAAACCGGTCTTGGGCTGTCAACGGATTTTCAGCAACCTCATGAGTAGTACATTGTAAACTGTTCATCGTTTGCAAACGTGTTCGTGCGATGCGTACTAGGCTGCACGGTTGTCACCAACCCGGCCCCGAAGTGCTTATCATCCGATAGATCATATGTGGAATATCACCACACACTACAACACTGTTCACTTTAGTTGAGGTGATGGCATAGCATGGCTTTACTTTGTTTGGTGGCTTTGCAGGGATTTTCAGGGAGTTGGGGATGCCAAATCCAGCCTTCTTGTGGATTGAACTAATTGAACTGAATTAATCATCAGCAAATAGTTATTGCCCGCTTTTTAAGAAAGCTCGGCCTACATTCTTATTGTCGTCTACCTTCCAAGCCATACGATACAAACTCAACAAATTGATGGTGGCGACCCAGTAGTGCTCAGGGCATTCCACCAAGTTCAACATGCTTCTAGCCTGACTTTCGAACGAAGTAAAATCTCTAGCCGAGATTTCATCCGGCTAGTGTGACCAGCCTAAGCTACAATACCGGAATCCATCTCCCAGCTGTCAAATATTTGTGATGGATCATCAGCACTGTTCTGTGAATGTGAGAACTCGTGAGCCCTCGGTTGGTGGATGAGCAAACTAACATCCCAGCATGACAACCGGGGTTGAGTTGTATTGTGATAA